GCAGAAGAAGCTAAAAGCAGCTCTACTGAAAAGGATGCAGGGAGTTACTGGGCCCAAATTGAACCAAGTCAAACAGGTCATTGACAAACCAAATACTAATCTGGGACACAGGGTACAATTTTAGCCTCTAGGGCGTGCAGACCAGTCCCACATTTCTGCTCGGCCTCAAGCTGAGACAATGCATTCACTCTTGGGAACTGAAAACAGAAAGAATCTGAACTGACTGGAGGGAGTCCAGAGAAGTTCAACGAAAATATTAGGAGTTTTGAAAACATGACCTATCAAGAAAGGGTGATTATCAGGATTATTTAAATTAAACAATGGAAAAGCAAGAGAGAAAAATGAACAGCCTAGATATCTAATAGACTGCTGGAAAGAGTCTAGGAAGAAGTTATTTTCCATGCCTGTGGAGAGTAGATAAGACTGAATGGGCTTAAACAGCAGCAAGGAAGATCTGGGTTAAATATTAGGATAAGCCCTCTAATTAAGTGTAAGAACAGTAAAGCACTGAAACAAACTGCCCATGAGTGAAGGCCATGCCAGGTGGGTGAAGCAGACCTTCACCACCAGCACCACCCTCAGCAGTGTGAGACTACTGAGGAGCACCAGAGACAAACTGGCCTTTGGATTTCTGGCAATCCTATTTCTTAGGCTCTAAATTATGTGAATAAAATCAGCCTTCTTTTTGCAGCAGAAGAAATTCTGTAATATTTAATCCTGATTCAAATGTACTTCATAGCCCACTTTTCTAATGCTTTGCTCTGCTCCAGTTGTCCTTAATCTTTTTGTTTCTGTAACCATGTCACAATCATCAGATGCCAGAGAGAAGAAGCTCTTGTGACTGACACGTCACATGTATTTCTTTCTATTCCTCACAAGAGTTATTTCATTTTCTGCCCAAGTTTCTCTAAATCCTTTTTTATTAAGTATTCGAGTACCACTGGCACCATTGTACATATAATTCCTCTTTGCTGTCACCTCCACACTTCATAAAGGTCTTGACATTATTTCTCAAAAAATTTTGAAGATGCAGGATGGAGAAAGTACCTTCCCCAAATCCAGTAATACTCTTCAAATTCTCTTGAATCCCATGGCTATTTTCACTGCCCTGTCACTTGATTTTGAAGGAATTGAAAAGACAAAAAAGATTTCCCCTCCATCTTAGATTAATTAGTTCTAGGCAACATGACATACGTATCTGAAATAGGTGACACTGAATGTATTTCTGGATTATTTTTGAGCTGTCCTACACAAAAAAGAACATAATTAAGACTTGTGTGGCAGTACAAGCAAGTAACCAGGAGACTAATGCTCTGAAATTCCTATTTTAGAAAATCTAAACAAAGACCATCAATTTGAATAATGTTGATCATACAGTAACTTAAATTTTATAACCAGAAAAATACCTTCAAACATAGTTTTTAAGAAACTAGCCATGACTTTTCATAATTTTATCCTACCAATTAGATGTGGACCTGTTTTTTCTTAAATATTTCAGTTTCTTTCTGAATTTAGAGCTACAAAAGTTGTTATTAATGCTTGCAATTCTGCAGATACTAAAAAATTAAAACAATTGGCAGGATCACTTGTTCCAATAATGCAACTAGGATTCTTTTTCTCTAGTCTCATGCTACCTCATTATCCATGCTTCTTTCCTGTGACAGACTAGGCTGACACTGAGTTGGACTGGATGATCTTAGAGATCTTTTCTGACCTTAAAAATCTGATGTTTTTATCTTTTTTTTTTGTTCCGTTTTCCTAACATTCTGAAGACACTTTGGACTTGCTGAACTGTGAATGCTCACTTCTGGATGGAACTTGGGACCATGGTCTGTTCTGACTCTTGCAGGTCAGCTCCTGCTCACCCTCAGTAAAAAAACTGAGGCGTGGACATTTTCACTTAATAATCTAAAGGAAGTTAAGGAACATGTGTTACTGCATTTCCACAGCTACTTCCATTATTTTTCCCAAAGACTCCATCTTATTCTGCACAATGCAGAGGTAAAGTGAAGATCGAGGAACTGCATACAAGTCTCTCCACCACTGTCCAGATTTGCTCCTTTAAATGCCAGAAATGCACACGGCAGTAGCAAAGATTCTGCACAACAGATCTTGGGCAATTCTCAATCAAAGGGAATGAAAAAGTGATTTGCTGAGCGAATCTGACCAGTTGGGAATCAGAAGCAAATAAGACTACATCAAGGACCAATATTTAAAAAAAAACCCTCACATTTTCCCCTTTATATTGATATCAACACTCATTTATTTTCTCAATATAGCAATGATTTCTTATTAATAGAAGCCAACTATCCAGTATAATCAGTGTATTTCCAAATCTGTTTCTTTTCTATGTGGGATATTAAACTATTCTCTGTCTTGCTGGCAGAGGCATGAGGATGCCAGAGACAGTTGAAGAAAGCTCTCATTTTTTTTTTGGAAAGGCATGGAGATAAATCTGACGGATGAAATAAGCTCTACAAGTTCAGGACAAAAGACACAGAACAGGAAGGTCACCTGTACATAGAAACTTACATTTATCCAGTGTCATCAGCTTCCAAAAAGTACAATCCAGGTATTTTGCCCCCATGACTATGTGAAACAACTGTTGGTATCATCACTGATGGTTAATCAAGAGGCATCTCCCAAGCTCTGAGCACGAACCTTCAGTACTTAACAGCAAGTGCCTGACATTTAACTGAGATACAAGGTTCTCTTATCAATGCCTTCTATGTATTTGCAGTTTGCCATTGTCCAGGTTCCTGAATTATCTCAATGAATGTGGCTTAATTTCTATGTCAAGCTCAGTTTCTATAAAAACCCAGCTGTACAAATAATGCACTCTGCCTCCACAAGCAGTTACCAGAAGGTAACGCGACTATTTGCCTTCCTTAGCATGGAAAGCTGTCTCCAAGGTCTGGTGCTCCAAGATATTTTAACTGAGTAGGTTTAGATTAGATATTAAAAAGAAATTCTCTACTCTGAAGGTGGTGGGATACTGGAACACATTGCCCAGAAAAACTGTGGATGCCCTGCTACTGGAAGTGTTCAAGGTCAGGCTGATGGGGCTTTGTGCAACCTGGTCTAGAGGAAGGTGTCCCTGAGCATGGCAGGGAAGTTGGAACTAGATGTTCTTTAAGATTCCTTCCAACCTAAACCATTCCATTCCATGTTTGATTGTCCTTCCACTGCAAGTCCTGCCATCCAACAAAGGCCAGGCTTGAAAACAGCACACCCTTTGCACACCAAGCTGTGCTAATACCTTCACATTATATTCTTTGGAGCCCTTCAATACAAAGAGCTCTGTTCTGCCGCTCTTCAACCACAAGTGACAAAGGAAACTGTGGGGTGGGGGAAAAAAAAGCTGTGTCTCCGGCCTGGGGAAGAATTTTTTCCAGTGTATCATTACTTCAATTCCAGACTGCACGACTCAGACAGTGCCAAGAGCAGGAAAGGATGATGTGAGCTTCAGGGCATAACTTCTACTGAAAGCCAAGTTCCAGGAGTGGGGAGGGGGAAGGAAGGCTTGCTTTCACAACAGCTAAGTTGTGCACGAAAGGAAGACGAACCCAGAAACGCTCTGTATTGGCAGCAGGCTTTCTCTGTGCTGTGCACTCTTGCCGGGGGACAGGAATTCTCGGAGAGCAGCGCAGCCTGCTTTCTCCTGATGCCATCTGCTGGCTGAGCCACCCCGGTGAGGCTGGGCTCGCCCAGGCAGAGACAGCACACCGACACAGAAACAATCGCAGGGCTTCACCTCACAACACTTACAAGGTCCTTAGAAAAACCACTCAGAAAAACCGAATACTTATTTTTTAAGGTGGAATAAAAATGCACAAAGTTATTTTACATGTTTAATATTAGTATTAAGCTAGTATAGCTTCAACAAAATTATTTACATTACATTGCTTAGATGAAAAATAAAATAATTTTTAAAAAGCTGTTACTGCCAGAAGCAGCGCGGGTCCCTGTTTTGGCACAGGCCAAAAATAACCAATTCTAACCAGAACAAACTAAGTTAAATTATCTGCATGACGGTAGATGTTGAGGGGGTTTGCTAGATGGGTATTGGATATGAAAAAAGATTACAGAATTATAAATTACAGAGGTTGATATTGCCTTCTTTCTGCATTTGGACAGATTTTGGCAGACACACAAGGCTGTCATCTGCTGCTAACAAGATTCTCAGATGGTATCACATCTGAAATAATGACAGGAGGCTAGAAAAAAGATGGTGTTTAGGATATTTGCGAGCAAGCTTGTGAAAAAGCTGTTTGTTGTTCATCCTGTAATGTTTTGCACCTTCACCATCAGTACTCAAAGCTCTCTTTGCAGATTAACATGATGAAAATGTTGTGGTTTTTTTACATTTTGATATAATGGCTACTGAATTTCCATCTCAGAAAGGCCTTCCAGACTTGAAGAAATAACTGCTTTGAGGAATATAAGTTGGACTGGTTGCCTTTCATGCACCATGGACATTTAATTTCTTCTGCTGTGAGAATGGGAAATCAGGGAAGTGCATGCTGGGACGGTTGCTGTTGTGAAGGATGTTCTAGACAGGGTTGCAGACAGAGGCAAAGCACTAAAATACACCCAGCAAAAACTATCTGTAGTAAAAGAATCACCTTCATCCACAAACCATTCTACTTAAACAACTTAGTATACAACACCTAGTTTTATTTTACTAATATAAGATGATTGAATTGTACTTGAATTACATCAGAATTAATTCAAATTGTGCCTTACATCATCGTAACTGAAAAAAATCCTTTACAAAGGGTTGATTTCTCTCTCATATTTCTAGTTCATCAACCTGTACATACAATGGACGTGCACAAGGAGGATCTCCTGCCTAAGGCACTGAACATAAAATAAATAAACAAATGACAAATATTATTTTATCTCTTTATTTTTTTTTCCAGAATATTTTAATATTGAAGCCCAAGTTGTTATTTTCAAGGGAGAGGGAAGGGGGAAAGGAAAGGGAGAAAAGTTATGAAGACACATTATTTTATTAATTTATGGTTTTGTGAATGGTCATTTCTGTAGGCAACAAAAGGTTGTTTTCTTAAAAAAAATAATAAAACAAACAGCACCATTAAAGAAAGCATGATCCCTGAATTCTAAACAAAACACTGTCTTGAAACACAAAAAATTGCTAAAATGCTTGTTTCACCCAGTCACATCTGGTGGGGTAACAAAGCAAAGCACAACAGCATCAAACTGTAGCAATCTTGCTGAAACCAACTACACCCCCTTCTGAAAATTCAGAGAACCACTTTCCGAGCTTGTCCTGTGGGGATAACATTTTCTTTGGTAGAGGACTGAAGGAGGGTATTTACTTCACTAAATGCAGATAGAAAAAGTATCTATGCACATTAGGGATCTCCCCAATAAATCTGTATTTCTCATGCATGTTAGGTACGAGTGGATTTCACATTGCTGTTATACTGCAGGAGTAATACTGCCCTATAAAGGCATAGAATGGCTAATGTTGAACAGATGTAAACATTCAGAATACTGACAAAAAAAAAAAAAAATTACATACACACAAAAAACCCTGTACTGAAAATGTGAACCGAGTTAAGTTTCCATAAAGCAGAAAAAATATTTTACAGCAGTACAAGAGAATTATGGCAACAAAGTAAAGCACTTTTCTTGTAACATTCATGAACAGTACAAATACAACAAAGTTATTCTACGGACTAAATTATTCTTTAACTATCAAATATAGTACAAAGCGAAATATTATGTGCTATAAAAGAAGCAGCTCCTTAAATTAGACTAAAAAATGCTTTTTTTTTTCCTTTTCGTTGGTTTTACAGTGACAAAGCATGATGACCAAAGACAACAGGATTTCATAGATTCAGAAACATTTAGCTACACAGGTCCGTGATAAAGCCACTGAATATTTCGCTGCTTCCCCCCCCAGTGCTCCGCAGAGCCACGGAAGATGAGCCTGCTGCGCTGCTGCCAGGAGACTGCAGAAGTCATTCAGTGATCAGAGCAGGGCCCTTCATGTGCGTCAGCTAAAATGATCCCTTTTGGTGACACTTCTCAGCTCATCTCGAGTGTTTATCCTGGTACTTCAACACACCTTGGAGAAACTGCTAAACCAGAGGCTACAATAACGATTCTGAAATTGTGCGTGTGTTCATAAGGGGAAGGGGGTGCAGCATAAGGTAATTTTACTTCAGAAATTGCATTATAAAGCACCATATGCACCAGCTTAAAAACTGTGCAAGGAATTGCAGGGCCCTGAAAAACCATCTGCACGTTCTGTAGCTTACCCTGACAACATGCACCACCCTCAAGAAGAAAGTCTATATTACAGAGAATATATACCTTTTGCTTTATGGCTCAACCTTTATTTTTGTCTTTCAAATGCTATTTCATGTACTAGATTTCAGCAGATAAATAAAATGCAAACAGGGAGCATCCAGTTCACCATTTCTTAATTATTTTTTTTAAACATTATTTCAAAGGGAGTTTCTGGTTGGAAAGTTATTTCGGAACAGAAACACACAAGCACACTCACTGCAAATGCCCTAACGTTATCTGCATATCTCACAGGTATGCAATTAAAACAACAAAGAGGGAGGAAAGAAAAAAGCGTTTCTCCCTCTCACCCAAAAGTGCTGCTCCAGGGGTAGGAGTAGGGGGACAATTTTAGAGATTTAAAAAAAAAAGGTAAATTATACATGCTGGACATTGGGACACATACGTACGTACACACAAACACAGAGCAGTGTGTTCTTAAGTAATTCTTCCACTTTTCAGTGCATAAACTATTAACAACCCACGGTGCAAATGGCATGGTCATTAGAAAACACAATGACATTGAGCCTGAAATCTGAACAATCAAACAACAACAAAAAAAGGAGTAATTCAAAATTAACGCATAAATGTGACTGTGTTCTTATCAAAGGCCTAGGGTCACTCTCCCCTAGGCATTTGTGTGATACCAAAATCCACATAAGGTTTTCAGTCACGCTAGGATTCAATCAGACTCTCACATCACCATGGTTGCTTTTGAGTATTTTCATACCCTAAACCTAATCCGTAACAACACTTCACCACTGTTGCTAACTATTTGCTCAAATTTATTCCTGGTGCATCTCCAATGACTCCAAAATGAAAGGAGTGGAATTGCACTATGGAAGAGTTTGGTCAGTTGTGTAATGTAACATAGCACCATCCAGTCTAATGACATTTTAAATACATTTTGTCATGACCTCACACATGCAAGTTGCAATCCTGATACAAAAATGACAGTAGGACATGAATGAGTGACCTACCACATTAGTCACACTCTTACCCTTCACACAAAGGAAACCTATGTTGTGGCCAGAATTTATTTCTGTATTATGTCAGTCAATACAAGAACTAATTTAAGATGCAAGTACAAAGAAATATTGACTTATGTGCTGTGGACAGGAAAACCTGAGCTAGAAATAAGGATTCCCAGCAGGCTTATATAAACATAGGTAAATAGAAGTCTAAGACTGGTTGCTCTTTTTTTTTTTTTTTTTTTTTTTTTTTTTTTTTTTTTTTTTTTGTTAAATAGAAGATCCTAGCTCTACCAAGTATAAATACAATGCAATACAATTCCAATACAAAGGCTCCTCAACTATGAATCTGATATACATTAACTGACTACACTCATGCTTACTCATGAGTATTGCTCAGTTGCTATTTCACCAGCTGGCATAGCAGTGGATGCTAATTTTCACTTGGTTACTTTTAGGTTTTTGCTTGGCTGGCTTATTTTCCTACCAGAAGACCTGAAAGTGCTGAGAAGCCATTCCTTAGTTCACGTGTCATATTAAGGAGCACTTTTGTATAGAAAAAAAAAAAAAGTATTATTGTATCAGCAACAAATTTGTTAGTTCTTACAAATGGCCTTTGTACCACACAGTGTCAAAAATAATATTGATATGTTGCTAATTACAATAAAAGAGAACATCAAGGTGCACCATAGAGCTTCCTATGACAGGAATGTATGTTGTAGATATTCCAGCTCACTTTTAAGACAATAAACGGCATTTATCATGTTTGTGAATATGGTCCCGCAAGAAAATAAATATGATTCCTTCATTCAGCAGAACCTCACTAATATGCCCCCGAGTTAGGGAGACCAGTTACAGCTGATGAAAAGCACACAAACAAAGATCAGACAAAAAAAGCATGCTCTAAAATATAGCATACTTTTCATTTCCTAAATGTAGCTCTATCATTCACATTAGTACTTCAGAATGCAACAGCTCACTGCACGATGAAACCAAGCAGTCTTACATCTCACACATTCTTACTACACTGCTCTCTTAAAAACATGCAAGGAAAATTAGTTTTCTTGGGCAGGCTGTAAGGTCTTTGGATTAGTGAGGTTCTACTGTGATGGTAAAAAAAACCTGTTTCTCTTGATGCTGACATTTGGGCAGACCCAACCACATACTGGCAGATGGATGACTTGAACTCCACATGTTGTGTTCTTGAAGTGGGAGTAAAGAAAAACCCAAAGTGTTTTTATCTCCCCATCAACTGCATGTGCTTTATCCCTTTATAATATTTTCCTTTTAGGTGAATAAGACTCCAAAATCATCGTTTTTCTTTTCTGCTGTTATGGTGGCTAGCACATCTGGAATGCAGCTATAGTCCTGAATGTAAATACAGTACTGGATAATTACTGAAGGTTACTTTAAAGATGCAGTATCCCTTTTAAAAATACACTTTGCTTCCAAATTTCTAAAAGGGGTCTGACTTTCTTTGAGAGAAAAAAAGTCAGTGTTGTAAGTACTTCTAAGAATTACTTTAAATGGAAAAACTCTGAGATGTTATTTAAATAGAGTAACTCAATAAGAGGAAAAAGAAATTATAAGCTAACATTCAACCAATATGCAATTAAAATCTTTCCTTATTCATTCATCAGAATAATGCATCATTTTTAGGCCACAGAAAGACTACAACCTCGAGAACCAGTGACCTATGTTTGACCTTATTTTTATATATATTTGGGACTGACAAACCTAGTGGAAGGATTAGAGAGACAAATATGAATAAATACCATTTGAGTGAGAAACAGGAAAAGAGATCTCTAATCTCCAGCAGAGAAAATACCTTCTCCAGACTCTACTGAAGCCCATGTGTTTCCAGTGTTGGTCCCACTAACTCACCACATGTAGAAATCTTTCTCAAGGAATCAACAAAGAAGAGATGATGAGTAAGATTTGAGTTCCACAGTACCTGGCAGGCACATAAGGAAACTTCTCTAACCAACTAAATGCCTCTTTTAAATTTCTTTTGTTAGGTGAAGTGACTATATTTTAGCCCTAGATAGCAAAGTCAATTGAAGAAAACAATCTTGTCAGCAGAGAGAATGCAAACTGACTTAGAACCTACAATGGTCGGCACCCCACACCTTGCCACTACCCCGCTCACACCAGCTGCTATTCAGTGTGTTATTCATTCTGCATAGTTACTCCACTTCTTACAGTGCTATTCTTCCACTGATCTTTAACCTGCAGCTCATATCAAATATCAAACAGTGGAGAAAAAATGTGCTGCACTTTGTGCAAATAAATAGAAGCTACGAATTACATGCATTAATGCATTTTGCTTTTTCTTTTTAGCACAGCAAGAGAGCTCATAGATGCCTCAGTAACAAGGCTATCTTTTTCTTAAACTACTTCTACAGGTCTCCTCTTCTTCCCAGAAAATGGCACTCAGGCAGAATAACTAAGTTCTGAAAGCACCTCGTAGGAGAAAAAACCAAACCAAACCAAATTAAAAAAAAGACAATTAAAAACCACATAAAAATCAATCCACTCATTGCAAACCATTAGTGGCCTAAACTGTTCCAATTTCTCTGTTCCTTTGTCCTGCTCTCCCATGTTTATAAGGGATACTGCATCTTTGACTGAGCTCCTACCGCACCACCAGACAAGCTACACACAGTTTGGAAGGCCCTATGCAGTCATCATGACAGAAGGCTCCGCAGCCTTTGCACACGATCATGGCTTTCAGCCTGCAGGAGCATTTCAGTTCCAGCTCATCGGCGTTGCTGCTGTCAGCAAATTTCTGAACCGGGATCTGCGCGTTCTGGTTAGACAGGCCTGTGGCAGTGTTTGAACCACTTCCTAAAATCCCAATCGATTTCTCAATTGCAGATGCTGCCCTTTTGAAACTTGTGCTACCGAAGTGTATTGTTGGATAATTTCCACAGAGCTGCTGCTGTTGCTGCTGCTGTGGGTGCTGCGTCTGTATTTTCTGAGCAGCAAGTTGGGTAAAAGGCTTCTGTGGCTCAGAAAGTAAATAGGAAGAGAAGTCTGCATTTTTTAATGCAAACGCTTTTAACTGTTCTTTCACTTCGTTCTGATCATAGGAAGCTTGTTTCATGCCCAGTTCGCAGCTGCTGCTTAAACCTTCCTCAAAAGAAATAGGTTCAGATTTTATATTGCTACAGATGCTTGCTGGCTGAGGCCAACTAAGTCTTTTAGTGGTTTCCATAGTAACTGTCGGTTGTTTTTGATCAGAGGGGACTTCTGCATTCGGGTGAGGAGGGGGAGGAGGTGGCAGGGGCGGAGGGGGAGCAGGGGGATGCACTAATGTTTTACTCTGCAGAGTTTGAGAGGCACTGGCAATGTCATCACCTTCCTTAATTTGAATATTAGGGGAAAACACACTTCCTAGCCTCAGCTGGTGAGCTGCTGTAGAAATATTCACGTCTCCCAAACCCTTCTGTTCCAGGTGTCTGCTAAAAGCAAATGAGTTGCAGCCAGGTGGGCCTTTTGAAGTAGTTTGCAACAAAGCTGCTGTAGGAATGGGGCCTCTCGCAGCCATGGACATTTGGTAAAAATGCTGTCTATGTGAGGTACTGGCTTCTGCGTGAAAGCTGCCATTTTTATCAACGTGAAATAAGCTCTGCTGGAAACTACATGAAGGCAACGGTCTCTTCTGCTGCTTGATCTCTGGGCTGTGAGCGATCCGGCTCTGAATGGCATGTTTGTTAAGCCACTCCTGCTTAAATGGCTGTCCGTGCCCTAGCTGATTCATGCTGGAACTAATTACACAAGGAGCCACTTTAACATCTGTGTCCATTGACACCTTCCCAGGCTCACATTTAATTTGAGCATGTTCCCCTATAGTCCTGGCCATCCTCTTTTTCGGATGGTTTTCACGCTTTCTGATTTGTAGCGGGGCTATGCTGCCTGCTGTAAATCCTTTACCATCTGGATTAGGAGAGTTGGAAGCATGTTCAACAACATTTCTCTCAGCCACTACTGTTTTACATACTGAGGTAGTTTGCAAAGGCAAGGGAAGCCTGTTAATTTCTAGTTTGGCTCCTGATCTGGGCTGCGGCAGCACTTTTTCTAAAGGCAGATTGCCTTGCAGTAACTGTGTCACTAAGGGATTGTTGGCCTCCACTGACGACAGGCGACAGCTAGAGCCCCCGGCACTCGTAACTCTCTTTAGGGTTTCTGTTGTCAGGGACAGGGAGTCTTCCATGGAGTCAGCGATGGATGTCTTGGAGGTCTGTGGCGGCTGCACACTCGTGGCTATTTCTGCAGTCTGGGCAGGCATTTCAGGTCCTGTAAAATCCTCGGTGTCCATCCTGAAGCACTTGTCAGTCTCATTAGTTTCCAGTTTAACAGGAACACCAATGCTTGTCAAAAGACTCCTGGACTGCAGTTCTGACATTTGTGTGTAACTGGAAGGTTCGCTTTTGACATTTTTCAAGCAGTTTTGCTCTGCGTACTCCTTATGTTTACCAGAGGTAAGATGGCTGACCACTGGCTGGTCTGTATTCATTGCCTCCTCATCACGCCAACAAATTCTATTGTTAGAGTTGTACTGATTGGCACAGGCAGCATTGGCTTCATTTTTCAGTGCTGAAGGACCTCTTAGTTGCTCAGCAAAGCCTTGGCTGGTAGTAACCACCTCAATTAATTTATCTTGAGGAGCAAGAGGCACTTCTCGAAGACTTGAACAACCTGCCTGCAAGTTTTTGCTGTCTTGCTTTGCTGTAATGGCGATAAAGCTGGAACTGTGCTCAAGGTTTTCATTAGCAACCACTTCAGGCCTGCTTATGACAGACACCTGAGGACAAGCTATACTTTGTAAGGCAGCTTCTGTCCTTACAGGTCTGCTCTGCAGGTCAATGCTGTTCTCTACATTTTCAATAGAGGAAGGAAGTGACAGACTGGAATTCTGGTTCGTAGTGTGGTCAACAATGACTTTACAAGGTATAGACCTATTCACGGCAGTTTGTGTAAAGCTCAGCGGATGAGATTTACCAGAGAGATCCATCCGGTTTCGTGTTCCAGAGCTTTTTTCTAAGAGATCAGCATTCAACTTAGCAGCGTTATCATAAGAGCTTATTGTCACCATGTTACCAGTAAACATTGAGATAGGTGGCCTTGCAACAGAATCTGCTGCTGCAAGGGCCTCACTGCAACTTAAAGCTGACCTGACGGTAGTGTGGATGGAGACAGTGCTCTGCTCGCTACACCTGGTTATGGCTATCTTATCAGAAGGAAATCTGTTGGTAGTCCCCACTGGGGGAATCAGTACAGAACTACCAGAGAGATGATTTGGCAAGTTACTTGCAATAGATGAAGCTGGCACAGTGGCATAATGACTGGAGACTGCGTTATTCACATTGCTACTGGGTACTGGCAACCTTTTGTCATCGATGGCATTTGATAAGACTGTGTTGTCTATGGAGACCGGTACATTACTGTTATCAATACATTTTGGTCCAACAGTTATGCATGGAGTATCAGCCCCTTGGATGGTTTTCAGCATATTTATATTACAGGCTGAAATTGCTGTGTTTGCGCTGTCAACAGACATTAACACAGAGGATTTATCAACAGAACTTGCAAAAGAAAGTTCTTTAATTGCTCCAGACATAGCAGTGCTGCAAACACACACAGAGACTGAACTTTTATTATAAAGTACTGGCACACTGTTACTTTCGGTAGAGGTAGATGAAATAATTTTCTCACACAATTGTGGCACAGGTATATTTTCATCTGAACTGTGCACAGATATCTCAGTAGCAGTTTCTGGTAATGTAGCTGTGTTAAGGGACTGCTGCAATAAAGTGGTGGTCTCACGGTGATGAGAAGACTTGTTGCTAGGGGACCTGCAGTTAGGATTAACTATAATGACACCAGTAGAACCTTCAATCTTTGTGTCAGTAGTCGTTGGTATCTCCAGAGATGAGGTACTACTTTCCTTTGAGCCAAACTGTGACTTTGATTCTTTATTGGTCTGGAGTAAATGAGCTCTGGCTTGATGCTTTGCAAATAGCTTGGCCTTTGTTTGCTCCTTGATGTGTGCCAGCGTTCTTGTCTTTCCACCTTCACACGGGGCTCCCATTGCACCAGAGACTATGCTGGCAGCTGCTGCCACGGCTGCTGCAGCTGCAGCTTCTCTTTGGGCTCTTGCTTGCTGAGCTCTTGCTTTGATATCTGCCAGAGTTCTAGCCCCAGTGTTTCTCCCACTGCTGACTGATGTACTTGGGGAAACTCGAGGTTCTGGTTTAGAAACAGGCTGGCTCTTGATGATAAAAGGTGGTCCAATCTTTGAAAGCTGAATCTAAAGGAAGAAAAAGAAAAAAAATCCAGTAAATTTTAATGAGATCATCAACTCACTAAAATAATCAGCTGTCTCTTTAAGGTCAGAGAAAGGTAGTGAAAGGAATTACTGTTCAATGCAGGTGGACAAAAACCTGCTAAAACTTAGTCATATTTATGCTTCAATATTTTATCATCTTCCAGTGTGAATAACTGACACCTGTATTAGCCTACTCACACCTATCCTTCTGACAGGAAGAAAGATTGAACTGGATAACAACATGATGCTTATCAGATATAATTTGTCAGACCTGTTTTATATTCAGTGCATCTACCTGAGATGATCAGCAAGCCTTGTGCAGTGATACTGGACAAGAACCTGCAAGCAACCCCTTCCTGCAAACATGTGAAAAAGTAATGATCATGCAGTGCCTTCCTCCTTGGTCGCCAGTGATTAAGCCTGTGTTTTGCTTATAAACCAGACAACAAATCTTGCCATTAGACAGGATGCAGTGGTATCTCCACTGAGCCTGTTTTCCAACTTCCACAATGGAGGATTTAAGAGGTGTAAAAGAAGTAAATCACTAAAGGATATGTCTTTTCTTTCCTCACTTGCATTTTTAAGAGACTCGTTTTAGTACATCCCTGGATAACTATTACATTACTGCACTTTAAAAATTAAATCCTCAAGGCTATAAATAGTAAACCCAGAAATATTAAAAACTTAAATACCTGGCACTTTAAGCAAAATAAAAACCTGTAAAATCCCTGGAATTATTAGGATGTTTCCAATTAGGCATATAGTTTTTCAGGATTAAGAATCTTGGAAACACTTTGTAACTCATACACTCTCTCAGGCCCCAAGATTGGAAAAAAAAATCATTTTCTTAAAATGGACATATGTCTACTGGCTGTTTCTAGAAATAGAACTTAGTGGTAAATGCTATGATGCATCTTCTGAAAGGAGCTGAGTAGAAAACTAGGCAGTATTTGTAGAAAAAGTAGTCATAAGATGACGGGAAGTGACAGCCATACAACAGAGAATGACTTAGAAGAACTGGGGTTCTTTTTTCCTCCTTTAATTACAAATGATAGGGGTTTGTTGGTGAGATGATATAAGAGCCAAATTTTTTTTACACAAAAAGCATACTAGAATTGATTGCCTACAATTCTTCAAAATATTCTGATTTCAGTTTCAGCAGCAACTCTTTTCAGTTTCCACTTTGCATTACCAGAACTCCTAGAGCACTAAGTGCTTGGTTATTTTTTTTATTATTATTAAAGTAATGACCTTTCTTTATTCCCTAGTGATCTATTTCCTTTATGCTTAGAGAGTTATTAGAATGTGTTAGGCTAGATAGAACCTTCCAAATATGAAAGAATATCACTAAACTCAGAACAGGGCTAACTTCCAATTGCATCACTGCTCTTAAAAACAAATTATCTGAAAAGTGCTTCTGCACTAGTGATTAGAACCTATTAGTCTATTTGCCCTCCCGGCCATATTAACAATGTTCAGTGACTGCAGAAGTTAAAAATAAAAGCAGAAAAGGGCATTTCTGAATAATCAGGAACTAGTATTGCAAAGTCAATGGTTTAAATACAGTAAATTGGATCTTAAACTTGGCTGATGTCATCAAGTACGAAATTAAAAGGCTCAAAACACTGAGCCTATATATAACTGAATCTACAGAACTCTCTGTTATGAAAAAACCCTTTTCAACTGAAATATACTTTCTTACATCGCAGAATAATACACATACAAGTGTTTGCTTAGGTGGTACAATTTTTTTCCCTTTGCCATTAACAAAGGTATATATATATATATATATATATATATATATATATATATATATATATATATATATATATATATATATATATATATATATATATATATATATATATATATATATATATATATATATATATATATGTATATCAGATACTTCCCCCTAATAGGTCTGTTTCTAGTTCATTCTACAGGGAAATCTTACATTTCAGCCTTGAAATATATATATTTGCAAGCCTTGGGCTTGCAAAAGGATCTTCAACTATATTGGCTCTTGGTTCTCTTACTAGTTTTTTTTCTAAGTACTGGTTATGATAACATTTATTAGTCATGCTTGCTGGAGAAGACATCCACAGAAGAATAAGCACAAAATACAGATGGGAACAAGCACAAAATTAGAAAAACAAGTGCTGCATGTCATTGATGGGGATGATCTTGAATTGGATTGAATCAATGGATCCTGGAGAGCTCTGCCACACACAAAATCAATCTTTTAGCAAAGACCCCTACCAAACAACCGTAGATATATCTGTATCAGAAGTAATTTGGCAGGGTGGAAATGTAATAGTAAAGCAAAACCATCAGTACTAACAACCCTTATACATCCCCAAAAATATAGCATGTACTGTTCCTGTATGCAGTTCATAGAGGGACATAATAAACATTTTGTTTCCAAGCCACCCTGTTTATTCATTACTTTACCTTAAGGGGTGGAACTCGTGGCTCCTCTCTGGGCGGCTGTTCTTTATCAGACGGACTTGTTGATGAAGCACTACGATTAGGCAGATCATCATCTATTCTAGCTCTCTTCTCTTTACAGATTCCAAACCCATGCTGTTCTGCTGTTTTCCTCTTTGGGATCTCTGGGTCTCTACTTTCATTTCTTGCTTCTGGTGATTTTGTGGGTTCTAAAGACTTGGAAGAATGCGAACTCTCTAGACGACTTTGGGTACTGCCTGTTAGCTTGTGAGATTTACTTCTGCACGCTTCAGAGAATGTAGCTTTCTCTAGAGATGAGGTATATAGTTTATCATGTGGCTTTGATGGAAGCAATTCGATATTTTTGCAAAGTGATCCTTCTGATAAGACAGACACCTCTGAGGGCAAGAGTGTACCTTTCTTGTCACCTCTTTGGTGAACACTGTGATTTTTATTTTTGATCACCTCTGGAGGAGTGTGTTCTGGGATGGATGCAATGTAGGATTTCTCAATTTCAGAATGTGACTTACATGGCTGATGACTGATATTTTTGCTTTGGGACTCTTCCAATACTGAAGTATCAGGTATAATTGTTAGTGGACCAACTTTCATATTTTCAGGGGCACTCTGAACTTGTTTTGGCTGAACAAGATTCTCTTCTTGAACCATCTTAGGAATGACAGAGCTTTCTTCTTTCAGAGTGGGAAGGGAGTCTTCCAACAAACATGGTGATTTTCTTTGTTGCAGAGTAAGTCTTTCACTGCTTGGAGAATTAGAGACTGGAGATATCTCTGATGGAAGAGGCAAACTATTTGTCACAAATGTTTCAGAAGTTAGAAGAACAGAAGATACTGAAGATGTTTCTGATGTTAAAGGCAAATCAGACATTGGAGACGTTTCTGATGTTAAAGGTAAATTAGAAGCTGGTGATGCCTCTGATGTTAAAGGTAAATTTGACATCAAAGATGCTTCTGAGGTTACAGGTGAGGTGGACATCGGAGAGATTTCTGACATTAAGGGTGTGTTCAAGTTTTCATCACTGGCCTTTTGCTGAATATCACCTTCAATATTTTCAGAATTGGACACTTCAGATGAGCAAGCTGTTTCAAGAGATGCTGGAGTACAGGGTTCCTCTGAAGTTGACTGAGTGTCTCCTCCAGGAGAGGCAATACAAACTTCTGGACTTCCAGAGGAAAAAGAAGTTTCAGAAATACAAGCATTCTCAGACAACTGCTCCTCAGGGTCGCTATGAAGCTCCATATCCACTGCAATGCCTCCACCAGTGAACAAGGAGCCTTCCAGAGCAGCACTTTGCATTTCTGGCCCAATTAGTTCTTTTGCAGACTCAGAATCCTTCTCAGCTGTACAGCTGACAGAGTTTGTGGATGAAGCTGATCGTGCTGGTGATATGCAATCTTCCAGCTGATCTATCACAACTGACATCTCCTCCTGAGGGCATTCTGACTTCAACTCTACTTTAGTAATTTCAATGCGAGATACAGTATCAGTTACATCATTCATCATGACACAGGACTCAGTGCTTTCTGCAAGCTGTACTGCCTCTGTTTCCTCATTTGTGCCAGCTGGACTTACAGACTCCTCCGAAAACTCATGTTCTGGCTTATGGTTCTCCTCCTGGCATTCACAAATACTTGTCTCGACCTCTTCAGCAATTTCCTCCTGAATGACTGATTCTTCAGGTATCAGTATATCCTCAGAATCTGCTGTTAGATCCTTGACAGGAACCTGTTCCATACTACAAGGAGATGGACTATAATCTCTCTCTGGTAAAGGTTGAACTTTAGCACCTTTCTCCTCTTGATCCTCAAAGGTTGCTTTCTTAGAAGGACCAGGTGTGCCAGAAGATCTGCACAAAGAATTGCTTTCATCTTCATCATTGTTCTGCACTGCAGTGAGCTTCTTTGATTCTCCTCTTGACATTCCCAACCTAAAGAAAAACAGAAATTAAAATAGATATTTCCATCACATTAAGGATAAGGGAATAGGCTAACCTTTCTCACCCACATTTTTTATTTCCAAAAAATACATATTTTCAGGTTTAAATTAGTGGCTTACTTAAGTGGTGGCTAACTAATTTATATAAAATTTTATGTATTTTAGAAACCTAACTACTGAGATTTCCTTACAAGTATTAAAAACCATGAATAATTTTAATATAAGTAATCTCTCTGTATACATTCCTGGTGGTTTTGTTTTTTTTTTGTTTGTTTGTTTCTTTCTTTCTTTTTTAAATACCAGCACAACACTGCAACACTGGTACAGCATCCATTGAAGAAATGCACAACTCTATCATCTTCTAGTGGGAATAGTTGTAAAGGAAATCCCTTTTCCCCTCCTTCACCTGCTTTTAGGGTCAACACAGCCTGCAATATGAAAGAAGTTTAACATTCTTAAGGAGCTAAAAGATACATGTTTAGAATCTATGCATTCATTCTCAGGGATAAAGTGCAAAGGAACCATGTATACTATGCATGCTTCTGAAGATTTTCTTATCTTTGATCCTGAAAATGCTCATTAAATAATGTTTTATTACTTCAGCAGAATTAAAACATAAAAAAAAAAAAAAAAAAAAAAAAAAAACCCAAAACAAAACTACAGCCATGAGATAAAAAAAAAGGTTGTTTTAAAAAATGTATGTGCTCTGACATCTTTATTTCCTTCTAAGGCCAGTGGGAGTACAGACGCTCAGCACCTTTAGTAAGATTTTCCAAGCAGACTTTATGCCTCAGCAATTCCATAATAGTAGAAAATACACAAAAGCTTGGTGGGAGGCCTTAAAAGAAATTATATGGTCTTAAGGATCTTCTATCTACTAAACAGATCTCTGTTATAATTTAATCAGAAAATAAAGAATAAAATGGAAACAAGCAAGCATAAAAAATATTCAGAAGCTATGGAAGCAAAATTGCTTGTCAGTGTGTAGCCAGAGGATACAGAGATACAAAGGCCTATTCAGATGAAAGTACAGAACACATAAAAAACCAAAATCTGTGGTTGTGCATTTTAAAAACACTGAACAGATGTATTACAGTGAGAGCTGTAAACCCAAGAAAAAAGCCCCAAACCAACCCAGCCTGGAACTGGCATCCCAAAAAGCACACTTAATTATTAGTATTGCCTACTACTAGACACTAATCATGAACAAAGTCTCCCTTTGCCATCAATATGCTGAGGAAGGATCCTCTAGAGAGCAATTCAGAGCAGCAAATTCACAATTCCCACACTGAATGCATTTCAGAAGATGTATCTTTCTTCTGTATAGACTATAAGCTCCCCATATGGTCTAAGTTCAGGTTGTAAGTTTAGGAGAGTAAAGTTTAGTTTTACCAGGGTTTTGATGAATAACTTCCTCCACAATTCCTTGTGTTAAGGAACCAAAGTTATCTCAGGAAAATGGGAAGGGGAAAAAAATCCATCCCATTACTGAAAACTGAATCAATGGTCTATTTTCTCTAGCTGGGTTACATCATGAAAAGATACTGCTTGATGGCTATCTTCATGGACTGAAAATCAGCAAAGGAATGAAGGACCGGATAAAGGTGAATGAAACTGTCACATGGACACTACACAAATACACACATTCTAGTAACATATTGAAGATAAAGAACTGTAAGGGAAATAAGATAAAGCCGATTAAGGCCAGCAGAACATGTACTGAATCTTAATAATTTTTTTCAATATTGGAAATACTACAATGTTGAAGAAGAAACTGAAGAAAAAGGCGTTCTAAAGAAGGCTCAAGATCAGCATGTTTAAGGCAATCTCAGATTGCAAAATAAACAGCTGATCTGTCTTCTCTCTTAGAAAAAAAGACACCCAAAGTTTGCAAAACAGCACAAAAATACGAGTGCAGCAGCAAGCAGATTTCAATGAAAGTGCTAAGGACAGGATTCAACTGGTAAAATAAGAGCACTCAGTCAGCCACTAAGAAAACCCCAAAAGCTTCTCAATGATATATGAATGCTGATATTCTAGTGCTGTGATAAATAGTACTGGGTGGGGGGGGAGGAAGAATCAAAGTAAGAAAAGGATTAAATCAGCAATAAAATTTGGAGGAGGTCTACCCAAAATTAAAGCTTTGATCTAGCTGATAGTGCTATCCTGACATGTAACTCTCAAAAGTGAGAAAAGAGATAATATATTGGCATAATAGAGTATATCCCTTGCAATCTTGCGGCCACAAGCCAGAAGAATGTGGATTTCTATCAACATGCATCAGCTGATCCTAGATGAATGACTACAGAATAAGATTTTGTATTTTGAGAAAAGTCAGAGAGGAAAAATGAAGAAATACGAAGAAGTGGAAAAAGAACAAAAATGGATGGAATAAACTGCAACTGACAGTGCCACAATAAACAGCCTGGGTACAGAAAAGAGCAAACACAAGATGCAATGCTTAGAGCTAACAGGCAAAAAGAACTCTGAAGTCTTTGATTGCTACCAACTGTGGAGTGCATAAAAATGCTTACAGAGATTCTGCATCTATTAATGGTCCTTCCCTAAGTAGAAGGTGAAACTTGAATTTACTTATGGAACATAAGAAGATCAAATTAAATGAAGTCAGAGCAAAAGTACTACTCTGTAAAGTGAGTAAGTCAGCCTGCAAGACAGATTCATTTTGCAGACAGTGCATGCGAGAAACAGCTCAGGGAAGCTTACAAATTCTGCTAGTTCATTCAAATCAACATGGCTGAAAAGAGACACAGCCCAGTCATACTGAAAGCTAGTTTAAAAACCAAAGTGAAAAAAGGTAAGAGAATCACGGAGTCACAGCATATCCTGAGTTGAAAAGGATCCACAAGATCACTGAGTCCAGCTCTTGTCCCAGCACAGGACTGCCCCATTAGCCAACACAGGGTGGAAGCTACAGCAAAAGCTACCATTCAGCGAGTAAACAATGAGGAAAAGTACTTAAGCCAGCAAAGTACATCTGCCTACACAACAGCCAAGCAGAAGAATGCAAGTGAAACAATGCAAGCAGGGAAAAGGGCAGGGAGGACCAGATTCAATACTTCAGTCAAAATGGAAATGATGTGGAATATGACATTTTGCATAACAATGTTGATGTCAGAAACCTATGAAACCAAATGACATATCACAGACTGAGCAATTATCTGCCAAGCACCATGGTATCCAGCATTCAGCCAGCACAGCAGGACTGCTGGCTCTGCAGAATTATGAGCATCATTCTCTGTGCTCATGTGACAGTCATTTTTGACTGAAGAACTCCTGCATTGCTGGTAATAAACTTCTACTTCTTGTGGAAGGCCCTATACCAGTATCTTACACAGCCTTTTCCTCCATGAAAGGTTAATCACCGACACTTCACTTGACATGCACAATGAAAAGCCATTTTGTTCTTTATCTGAAAACCTAACCAGTATTTTTTGATACTAAAAGGATCAACACCTGGACTAAACTGAAGTCTCAAAGCTGTTTACTAAGAAATTAAGCACTTTACAATAAGACAGTCTGACACATTAAGAGCATAAATTTCCATTATATGTAAAGATAGGGTGCTGTAAAAAAATACACCGGGAGGAAAGCATCTAGCAATGGTGCACAAAATAAAATACTAAAATGGATCTGTCCATTTCTTGCCTCATTTTCACTACATTTCCCAGTGGTCCAAGACAGCCGATTGTGAGAAGTAGTACTCTTACTGCAGAAACATTTTAATCTTTAAGATAATCAGTTATATGAAGGGTTCCCTGTGCCCTGGATTTCTTAAGTGAAAAACATCTGACAGCAAAACTAAGACAACTTATGTAATGACGAACAATTGAACAATTTTGAACAATTGAACAAAATTGAACAATTTTTCTGCTAAGTATAATGCATACATTTGATTGAGTAGACAGTGAGACAGATTGAGAACTGACTGAATGGCAGATCCCAACAGGTTGTAATCAGTGGTACAGGCTGTATTCGGAGGCCCTTCACTAGTGGTGTCCCCCAAAGTTCAATACTGGGCCCAATATTGTTTAACTTACTCATCAATGACTTGGATGAAGGGGTAAATGCCTCCTCAGCAAGTTCACTGACGACACAAAGCTGGGATAGGTGGCTGATACACCAGAGCCTGTGCAGCCCTTCAGAAGGACCCTGAGAGGTGGGAGAGACAGGCAGGGTCCTGCATCTGGAGAGGAATAACTCCAGGCAGGACAGGCTGGGGGCTGACCTACTGGCAAGCAGCTCTGCAGAGAAGGACATGAGGTCCTGGCGGACAATGAGCTGTCCACAAGCCAGAAGTGCCCTTGTGACCAAGATGGCCATCAGTATTCTGGAAGCATTACAAAGAGCATTCCAGCAGGCTGGGGAAGGTACTCCTGCCTCTCTGCTGTGCCCTGGAGAGGCCACAGGTGGAGTGCTGTATCCAGTTCTGGCTCCTTGGTACAAGAGAGACATGGAGCTTCTAGAGATGGTCCAGTGGAGGGCAACAAAGATGATTGAGGGTCTGGAGAATCTCTCTTAGGAGGACAGGCTGAGAGAGCTGCACCTGCTCAGCCTTGAGAAGAGGCAACTGAAAGGAGACCTCATTAATTTCTATAGTACCTAAGTACCTAAAGGGAGAATGTCAAGAGGATGGGCCCAGGCTCTTCTTGGTGGTGCCAGGCACTTAGAAAAGAGGCAATGGGCAGATCCTAACACACAGGAAATTCCACCTGAATGTGAGGAAAAACTTCACGATGCAGTGGCTGAGCACTGGAACAGATTGCCCAGAGTGAGCGTGGAGTCTTCCTCACTGGAAAACTGATTGAATGCAATCCTGTGCCATATGCTCAATGATGACCCTGGATGACCCTGTTTGAGCAAGAAGCTTGGACCAGATCCCTTCCAACCTTACAATTCTGTGATTCTGGGATATAATTAAAAAATACTTAAAAAAAGTAAAAAAACAAAACAAAACAAAACCAAAAAAAAAAAAACAAAAAAAAAAAACCAAAACAAAAAAAACCCAGTAACTGTTAAATAGCTACTTTAAACTTTATAGTAAATTCTTAGTATTTTTAAAAACAGAGATATAATTCTAAGTATTGATGAACTGGCTTTTAAAAACACTTTCTAAAAGGAAAATTCTTGGATTTTAAGAAGATGTTAATCTCCTCAAATTTTGTTTTTTAAAAGAAGATAAACACCGAGTATTCAGCTGCTGAAGAATGCCATCTCTGTATCATCATCATCAATGAAATGGTGCTGACTCACCCCAGTTGTGCACCTGGAGTGATATTTAATTTTACTCCATTAAAGGTATTTATTTATTCTTTGCATCTCACTTCTAAATTAAATTAAGTCATTGTCACTTTCATTTGTCTCTAGCTAGCATTTTTTGATGTCATATATTCATATATTCTTCTCAGGCCAATGGGCCATCTCAGTCAAAAAATAAAAAAACTATTTGATTTTAGTAGCAACTAGCTTAGAAAAAATAAGACAAATTAAAACATACTACAGAAATATTGCTTCTGGTCTTCTTGTCTGTAGAAGCTGTATTTATATTTTGCAGGAGGGAGGAATTGCCCTAATGCTATCTTTTGAAGATAATTAAAAAATATTCACATGCTTGTGTCTTAAGCTCTCTTTGCAATGAATTTTTATGGATGACTTATGACTCTTTAAAAATGCAATTGTAATGCAAGTGCAGACACACGACTATAATTCTACCCACAACTTCTTATATTGGGGAATGACTGCTCTTGATAACTGCTTTATTAAGTTTTACAGCATATGACCGTGCTATGTGAAGCATAGAATTATATTTTCATTTCCTCCTAAAAGACAATATAAAAAAATCCTTTTATTTGCTTCAGTACTTACTTTTCACCATAAAACCTTTCAAAGAATTTTTCTTTCCAAGGTTCTGTTTTCTTTTCCTTTTCAATCTCTTGTCTGATGCGCAACTGCATTTCTGGTGTAAATTCTCCTAAAAAACAAATACTAACATATTGAATAAAAGTTGTCAAGGATTAATTTAATATGGATAATTATAAATTGCAAATACAATGATGATGCACAGTGACTTCTGATACAATCATCCAACAATGCCAAATGAAATTAATGAAAACCGAAAGGGAGAGTGACATAGAAAGATTTAATTTACCATATACCATCAGTATTTCAAAGGTATATTGGCAGGGTTTAGTTGCATGCATTCAAGTTTCCAAGGCTGACAGTGACGAAAATACTTGGGTTTTTTTAAACTGTCAAAATAAGCTGCCACAGCAAGCTGCAAAAATGTACTCTGAATTCAAAATGGAATCAGCAATTTCTCTTTTGCTGAATTACTGGTCTATTACAGTTTCTATTCTAAAAGTATTTCTCAAATGTAGAAAAAGAGACACTCTTCATATAAACAATTAACCTCGGGCAGACCTGAGAGCAGAGAGTTACCTTCTGCCAGTCGCTGTTTCCACCCTTGCGCTGCATAGGCGAAGAACTCGTTATTTAGAGCGGAGCTACTGAGGCGCAAAACTCCATCGCTCCCCATCTAGAAAATAAGCCGATGGTAGCAGAAGACAGTGTCAGAAACAGCGTCAGCTGAGATCACATCAAAACACAGTTTCAATTAGGGGAAATGGGGGAAGTGTAGGCAGTGGGAAGAACAGAAAATGACTGCTACTAAAACAACATTTTCATGCTAGTCGTTACTGTAAATGGGAGTGAACCAATCCAGCATCAATGTGCTCTCTTCAGTCATAAGTGTTACTGATGATAACTCAGTTCACAAGTGATTGATGTGCTTTAATCACAGCCCTGTCTTGAGACTATGTCTAGAGGCATTGTACACAATCAAAAATCAAGATCATTATTGTACTTGTGCATCTGCCTATAATATGGTACAAAACAAATTAATTAAATGCAATGAAGACAGTAACTTTGGTGTTTCTAAATAAACCTAATACTCATGCTAGCTAATAAGCTGTATTGGCTAAAGAGTGGATGACAGCCATTTCTTAAGAAAATAACTGATATAAACTCATCAGTGAAACTGAAAACAGCTCTACTCATAATTTTATAGGCATCAAAAGTAAAATCTGTGGAAGAAGATTAGGATTATTTGTATTTTCTACATCTGTCAACTATGCAACAATAAGACAACATTAAAAGTCTTAATCACAGTATTTTCCACAATAATTTTTAACAGCAATTCAACTACTGAGTTGTCTTTTACCACAAAACTTAGCGCACATCTTCAGGCTTGTGAGGATATTTCTGTTTCCAAAAGAATTTTAATAATTGAAAAAAGTAATTATATGAAACAAATCAGCAGTGGGTATCACCTCTAGCATAATAAATATACACAGTAAAAAAACCCAGAAAATTAAAAAGAGAGGAAACAGCAGTAGAGGTAATGTTGCTAGAACAAGCACTCTCATTATTTTACATCCTTCCAAGTAAGAGATAAATGTATGACAACACTATTTGTAATCCAGCAGTAAAATCCAGCACTTTTCCAGCATATTAACAGATGTTTTAGCTAAGTAATATCCCCTAGTTCTCAGTGCCTGTTTCAAACAAGTGCCAGAAAGACACAGGCATGCCAGAAACATTGAATGATACTTCAATGCAGTTACCTCATGGAGCTCTGTATTTCACTGACAATAGAGGCCCTATTTCAAGAAGTCTTTGTTAATTTACTCATTGCCTAGCTGATATCCTGTCCCAATTATCTCAGAGGAGTAAACCAGAAAGATGTGAAGTAGTAACCAGAGAAATAGCAATTAGCATGGACCCTGAAAAACAGGCATTCCTAAAGGCATTTGATTACAATAAGAAAATATGTGTGTGGTACAGAGTTCCTCAGCAGGATAGGAACTTACAGAGCTGCTGCCTGTGCTTTCCTGCTATATGGCATTGTTTCGCCAACATGTCAGAGAAGTTGGGTTTAAGTGGGTTGGATATGTAACATTTCTGTACATCTCCTGATGTGGGTTATGGAACACATGCATATTAATTACAGGTAGGCTATGACTAATGCTGAAACTAGAGGAAAACTGGAAAGAAACAGTGAAACATGCAGCAGAAGCAGCAAGATAATAAAACCAGTGAGGTGAGAAAGGCGTGCACTTATTGTATAAATCAAACTACTATGACACATTATCTTCTTCCTGCACAAATGAGTTTTGCCAGAAATACTTAAATTGCAGAATTAATACATAAAAGAGGGACTTTTAAATACCAGTCCCTCCTGCACCTGAACAAACAAACCAATATATAGTCAAAATCAGCACTTACACAATTTTCTAGAAAGGTCAGATCACAAAGTCAGCAAAGTCACAAAGAAAAGAATCACAACTTACTAAACAAACAACTCTTTGTTCCTCTAAGAAAGGTGTGGAAGCTACCTTAGTTTCAACATAAAAGGAAATGAAATGTAAACACTCACTTGCTGACATATGTTCTACTCCAATCTTCATTAAATTAAAGACTTTTTCTCTAAGCCTAGCAATGTTTTGAAAAAATAGTCATACAAACATTAAATTCTAATAATATTTAACCACATTTAACTGCAGGCTGTGTCTTAAAGGTATAGACTCCGGAAACTCCATGGCTCAGCTGTTGACAAACAGTGTAGCCATATCACCAGCCAGATGAAAAGATCTCATAGGAAAGTAATGATTTGTGGACAATAACTTTCTGTTAAATGAGCAAAATTATCCAACTTATTCTAAAGTCACACGGTCACACCTCTATTAGATTTCATGCAAAGCTGGAATGTACCACAATAGGTGGAAAGAGATTGCCACTTGTCAGCAGCAATCCACTATCAAATTGCATTAAACATAATTTGAAACTGCAGCCAAGTGTGATTGAGCTATTTCACCAGACTGTATAAATGAAGAGCATTATAAAGACTGCCAAGTTCTATTACCATGTGAATACAAGAAGAACAGTATTAGCTTCATTGTAACCCTGTTGTTGTAAGGACAGGAGAAAATCAAGCCTTGCAGGAAGAGTTACCCCACCTTTTATTTTTGCTGGCCAATATACTTCAGAAAAAAAAAAGCGCCAAGTTTCTGGGTGCAAATCTCCTAACAAAATTTCAAAAAGAAACTGAACCCCAAGCTAAATGCTAGGAAAAGGTTCAAACAAATTCAAATGTGATCTAGTTCACCTGAGAAAAAAAGCATAGGCTGGAACTTCAGAATAGAAAGCAAATGACAGTTAGCAAGGTTATGGGTAAAGGTCATTAGTTCTTGTGGACCAGAAAAAAATGCCAAGTAGTAAGTATCTGTAAAACAAAAAAAGGAAGGGGAAACAAACTCCCAAAAGAATAGCAAAAAGGGAGAATTATATTGATTACCTAAGAAGAAAAATATTATAGGTCAACTAACAATGGAGTAACAGTCCACTTGTAAACTGTATAAAAAACCAGATGCATACTTCATTGATCACTTTAGGTATGAACTGAAGCAGCTTACAAATACTGTGGAACTATGTCCACAAGACTGAAAAGATGATGTTAGAGATGCTAAGGTTAAGAAATGTAAGAATAACAAACTAAACATGAAGCCACTGACTGCATGGTAGTCATTGCCACTGACGATCTGGCAGAGAAGGGCCTTTCCAGAGGCCCGTGTTCACAGGTCTACATAATTCATGGAAGATTTATGCAGCTAGGACAACCAAAATCTAAACACAAGAGCATCTAATGACACAGAAGGTGGAAACATACTAATTACTTAGAGGAGAAGCTTACAAAGATCTATTTTAACATGACATTAAAGAATAAGTTCAGGCTTAAACATTATAGAGGGATGTATGAAAGTAGACATCATTATCCAGACCTGGTACACATATGGACACTAATGTTAAAAATGGAAGAAACAAAGAGTTGAGCAGCCCCAGTGACTTCGCCCAGCTTGCTTAGGAATTTGAGATCAAAGAAAACATTTGCTGTGAATGGAACAGGAAGGATTTATTCAACCAGAAAAAGCTCAAAGAGAAAAGGATGAGGACAAAAACGTTAAAGAAACTCATAATGGCCAAAGAGATAAAGCAAATGAAACAGAAATTTTGAAAATGTTCTAGAAAGAATAAAGCACTATGCAGAAAGCAGATACTGCCACCCAAACTAAGTTAACAAAAAGTTCAATCATTTAGCCATTTTCAGTTCATTTAAAGATTTCTACACAGTGAGAAACAATTTGAACAAGTTGGAACAGACAAAACCCAAGTAATTTTATGTCTAGTTGTTTTGAAAGAGTCCATCAGAAACAACAAAACTAAAAAAGATGTTTTATGTTTTTTTCTCAATACCATAGTCATGTGAAATCAGGCTAACATCTTTTATGCTCTGTTAAACTTTGAAGGACTAAGAGGTCATCCTCTTATAATGTTAGCTAACAGCCTCCACTGAAATATTTTCTTATTTCACTTGGAGAATGTATTTTCACCTGAATCAACAAGTTAAAGTGGAAATTTTGAAGCCATGGAGTGTATTCACTTCTCTAAGCTCTGATGATAGAGACAGCACAATTAACCACCAGCTTTAAATTAGAATTTGGAGAAACATGCCAATAAAGCAGTTCTTAAATACACTGTTAATTTTTATGGTATTTAAAAAATGCTGTCCAACAGAGACAGTGTGTTAATGAGCTGGAACAACAAACACTTCTTGGAAAGTTTATGTTTCACTGTGTTGGGCTTTAAATTTCTGGGTTTTTCTGATTAAGCACAATGCTAGAATTATGTTTCCTAATTAATACTTTCACGCAGAATTCACAATGGCTTTTGAAAGTTCCTCTTTTTATTGAAAGCAAACAAAAAACCATCCAACCCCAAAACATATCTGTTAAAACCCAGCATCAATTTGCATTACAAAGTAAACCTGTTTGACTCAACAAACACTCTTATCAGAACGAACTGAGTAACCTTTCTAGAACAACTACTTCAATTATTTTCCTCCAAGTTCCACTGAAAATTCTCTTCTGAAAATAAGGCAGGGATTATTTTTTTAGCTCAACCTGAAGATGCACATTGGTGTTTAGTAAGTATACAGCAATTGCTGCATAGGTGTATACTGGTAGGTTATCTGATTTTGGCTAGAATCTTGGAAGACAAGGAATTAGCCAATCTATTATTTCTATGTGTCTTTCAAATGACTCAAAATTATCCTAATGTATTAATAAAATGTCTAATGACCCACTGTACACAGTTCTTGTGTAGTATACTGTATTTTACATGGAAGCTTATTTGCGAATATCATGCCAATTGACTAGAGTCATGGAATAGTTTGAGTTGGAAGGGACCTTTTAAAGGTCACCTAGTCCAACCCCTCTGCAATAAGCAGGGACACAGTGAACTATCAGAGGGACACATTCATCATCAGGTGTCTCAGAGCCTCATCCAAATTGACCTTGAAAGTTTCCAGCATGAGGCATCCACCATCCCCATGGGGAACCTGTTTCAGGTTTCTTCATAGAAACCTTTCTTCCTTATATCTAATCTGAATCAGCCCTCCTCCAGTTTAAAACCATTACCTCT